AGTATTGGTGTGCCATCTCTTTAGCCATTAGTCTTTGCTTAGGTAAGATCTTAATGTAATGCACAGGCCAATACCAGGTTTACCAGTGTATTGCTTCATCAAGCTATAATTGTCCAATACCTCTGCCCTATGGAGAGTTCTTTTAAGATCTACACCAAGTTATTTTTTATTTCTTCTAAATATTTTATTATATATTATAAATAAAATTATCAATAAAATAATGGGATATACAACACATGAAAAACCTAAAGCAATAAGTGTTGATAAGCATCAGACACATTTTTCTCTTAACCTTGATCCTAGAGCTGTGTATGTGCATGCGTGTGCATGTGTGTGCATGTGTGTGTGTTTATATGTAACATCTTAGTGAGAAGTGAAGAATAGTTAACAACTCATATACTCATGCAGATATTTAAAACTAAAATATTATTCAGAGTCTAACCACACAACTCAACATTTGTCTTTGCCAGTAGCATATAGTGGTATTCTATAAAGTTATAGGGTTAGGCTCCATGTTTCACATACTAATGTTTTATATGCTCAACTATATTCTGGGTGTTCTGTGGACAGTTTTGAGCCTTCTAATTGTGTTATGCATTTTAAAATTTGATTTTTTTAAAAAAACAGATTAATTCAATTCTCAAGATAGAGACTTCTAGTTCCAGACAAGATGGAGTAAGCACAATATATTTTACTACTTCTGTTAATCACAATAAAACACTCTAGACAAAATATATAAGTCATCTATCAGAAAACTCTAAGAGGGGGAGAAAAGAAGGCATATTGGCTAGGGGCCTCAGGACTTAAGAAACGACATGTCAGTGTGTTTCATGTTTGTTTGTTTGTTCGTGTTTCTTGCATCCTGTTTGTCCTAACCTGAATGCCAGAGAGGTCCTTCATGCAGCAAAATGCCAACATAAAACAGCACCCAAGAAAAGCCAAAAAACTGGGAAAAGGGTGACCCAACAGAGCATAAACATTGTAACCATAGCTATTCTGGGGATGAATTCCACAAAAGAAAAGCTGTTTCTCCCCCAATCAAAAGATGGGGCAGTCAGGGGTCAGTAAGAAACACTCCTCCTCAGGGAAGCCCATGGGCAGAAACCTGTCTTCCACTTTCATCTCCACTTCAGTAAAGAGATGGCTTCCCTTTCCCATGGGGTCTATGCTTTGACCTGACTTCAAACTTCCATGAATTGAATAGGAGATGCCCCGTCCCAGCAGAGCCTGGGGTTGGAACTGTCTTCCACTCCCCACTGCAATAATAAGGCAACGGAACCACTTTCTACAGAGAAGTTTGGGAGAAGCGTATAAATATTAAGGGGTAACCTCCTCAGGTTTCTTTGTGGTGGTGGAACAGTTCCATATGATAATTATGGTGATGGTTACGTGTGATACAGTTTCACAGAATACAGTCCCTCTCCACCAGCAAAGGAACAAACAAACAAACAACTGAAGAATCTAAATAAGGACTGTAGCTGAGTTAATAAAATTATACCAAAGTCAATTCTTTAAAAAAAAAAA